GTGGGAGTGCCAGAACTCCAAGAATGCCGACAATAGTCCATACAAGACTTAGCAGAAAAATACCCAAATTACTGGAGTAGACATCAAAGGATTGAGGAAACATAATTATTTTAAAAAAAAAAAAAAAAGGGGGCCGATGGATATCTTGAAGCATAAGATCATCGATTGAGGTTCAAGTCGATCAAGATTAGACTGCGAGACGACCCTTAACACATTGCTGTTTTTGCTAACAGTAATGATAAACAGTGTGTCTTCTTCTTACTGGGGGAGTTCTACAGAGGACGAAAATTGCCATTGCTATGACCAAAGCAATAATCAGTCCTAGGAGGGGCGACGATGAGGATGACGATTCTTCGACTGTTTCGCAACAGAACTTTCCCATCTTCTTCTCCTCCTCCTAGCAATATACAGCAGGGCCGTTTTTGAAAGAATAAAGAAGTTTTATGCAGAGAAGTTTCGAGGTTCAGGGAATTTAAGGTCATGTTTTGTCCGCATCTCTGAATGACATCCAATTGAAAATTGACACATTTATTCATCAAGTATGTTTTGTTCTTCTCACTTTTGCAACTTGTGTGGCCAGAATTGAATTCTCACCAATCACCACATATTCTTTGTCAAACTTTCACTTGATTACAATTAACTTTTAAGAGTATTTGTCAAATAAAGATCAAAAAGAAACTACAAAAATTATGGAAACTTTTAGATAGTTCAATATCTGGTATCGATTGAGGTATTCGTACAGAATCTTGCGTACATTTTCCATTAACCAGTTATGATGTTACTTTACCTATGCAAAAAGGATGAATAAATAATAAGATGGACGAAAATTTATTCGACATTTTTTTTTTTTTGGCAACAAATACAGGTCTGTACATCAACCTAGCCACATCCTTTTTCCATGAAAAATTCACAGTTCTAGGCGTCCACCTGAAAGCAACATCACTGCCAATACATCGCACGGAGGATCATCGGACATGGGTATTTCGATAAATTGTATCAGCTGGATATCAAAAATTCATTTTGACACCAAAACTGTGGATTGAAGGAAAGCTAGGCGATTTCTGGTCAGCGTTAACTTCTCCTCTGCTTCTGCTGCTTTTTCTCGAGCCCCTCGAACAATTTCCTCTGGAGCTTTCTCTGTAAACTGTAAAAATTGTAACGGAAATTGTGAGATTATAGGTGACTGCACGCAGGCAAAAGAGAAGACAGAAAATTGATGCCCGCAAGAGTGTGTTAATATCAGAACTAGATTTGGCTAAAGCTTTCATTTTTTCCTTTATTCAAGGGTTTTTTTTTTTTTTTTTTTTTTTTTTTTTAGCAGATATATCCACCATGTGAGCAAGAGGAAGATAAGCCTCCAAACCTTCACTCGCAACAAGATGGACTGATTGATTGGCGTCTCCTGCATATCATCTCTTATCTATTAGATATCAAAGATGGGCTATGATCATACCAAGTCTATCTCGATTCCAACATAAAAAAATGTTAAAGAAATATTCAAGCCAAAAATAAATAACTTGACTTGACCAAGAAAAAGGTAAATTCTCGATGAACATACCAGGGGGAGATTCTGCGAAAGTGACGTTCTGTAAATCCAGTTTGGATAGGTGAGCCATAACTTCCTTTTCCATCTGCACCATGACAGTGTCGGATAATGTCTCGTACAAATGAATATAATCAAATTCTGGTCCATTGACTTTGCTTAGTTGTTTTTGAGTAATGACATATGGAATATTAAACTTCTAGCTGTTTGCGTAATTAAGACATGCCAAAATTACTTAAGAAAGAGTGCAAACGTGAATTCTTAATGAGCCATAACTTCCTTTTCCATCTGCACCATGACAGTGTCGGATAATGTCTCGTACAAATGAATATAATCAAATTCTGGTCCATTGACTTTGCTTAGTTGTTTTTGAGTAATGACATATGGAATATTAAACTTCTAGCTGTTTGCGTAATTAAGACATGCCAAAATTACTTAAGAAAGAGTGCAAACGTGAATTCTTAAAATGAAATTATCAGCAGATGATTAGCAATTTCCTACTGTGTTTCATGTCAATCTAAGGTCCTAAAGGATAGGACTAACTCCAGAGAGTTTCTTCCCATATTCAAAAGAAACATTCAATGTTTGTAAGAAAACCATAACATTGTCCTATGTAGTGGGTCCTACTTGTAGAATCCACATCTGTTTTATATAGGAATGATTATGGTAATTGCAATATTTTACTTAAAGCATCTCCAATAGATTTTCTAAATACAAAATGCTCTTTATTTTAAAGTGTCAATACTTAAAATAAGCCCCCAAAGATTTGCTATTTCAACTTTTTAAAATAAAGAGTGGATTTAACTCTTCAAATTTAGAGAGCCAAACCCACCCTCTATTCTTAATGTACGATTATTGCATTTAATAAATTACATATTTCACTACTATACTTCTTAAACTATTTAAACCACATTTAGATCGATTGGTCAATTGGCATATAGAAAATTATGTTGAATAAAATATGAAGAAAAATTAATAAATGTTTCTTGAGAAAAGCAAAATGAAGAGCCAAAATAAAGAGCTTGTTGAAGTGTATAAAAATTTTAACCCTCTAAATTTGAAAATGCTCCCTATAATACATAAAATGCTCTTTATAAAGAAAGAGTCTTGGAGATGCTCTTAATTGGCTTGCATGTGTAGTTTGAATCAAATGAACATGATAACATCTATGAGAGTAATCAACTCCATCAAAATTTTTTCCAAGTTGCAAAACAAGAAAACAGGTATTATTGAAGCAGAATATATATGCATTAAGCTGAGGACAATCAAAGCTGACTGGAGGAGGTGATTCGTGAACTCCCCAACTTACAGATATATACTGAAGGACTTCTGAATTTGCAACAACTGATGCAGATATACGCCGTCCTGGCTCAACAGAGTATTCTGCTCGTGCATTTCGAATTGCTCTTATCTATTTAATGAGAAGAAGAGAACATATCATGAGTCATTTAAATCCTACGACAATTCATATACTTGCTTGTCATCTACATATCAAAAATAAGCAAGAATGAACTCTAAAGACTCACCAAAGCCTGTAAATTCTCAAATTTTTTCATTGATTCGGCTTGCCTTGGGAGTGATGTTGATGGCCAAGCAGATATTATAAGAGCTTGTTCTCGATATGGTAATGCCTGTATCAAAATAATTAGCCATGGAAAATAATCTGCAATATAATGGGGAAACTATAGGACACCTTGGACTGATCTGTTTAATCAAGCTAAGATTCAAGTGGTAGAATGTGATGTAAAATAAATTCTCAATATCAGCAACTTCAAAACCTTGAACTTTATTTCGTGATATCCCAAAATAAATTGAACAATCCGTTTGGGCTGATAAAAATTGTACATTATTGTGCTCTCAACAGTAAATTTTGAATTAGTGCACAACTCATAAAAGTTCTTCCATAAAAAGAAGCCAATTAGAAAATTCCTAATAGAAAACAGGGACTTCATACCTGCCAGAGCTCTTCGGTGACAAATGGCATAAATGGAT